CAACTTCTTCCGTGATGGCTTCAGAAAACTTGTTCATTGTTGGCAGAAATGTATCCAATTGTCTGGTGATTATGTGGAAAAGTGAATAGTGGTAGTTAAAGAGCACATTCTAAGGATTATTTCTGCGTTTGATTTATTAAAATATTCCCATCCAAACCCAATTAATGAAGGTGGAGGCATTACTTTTCATTCAACCCTTGTATTATACAATGTTATTGATCCCATAGCATTGAACTTGCTGAATGCTTGAGAAGTGCCGAATCCCAGTCCACAGTTTCACTTACTTACCTGTATTGTATGTCGATCTGAATTGTGATGTCTCACCTTTTATGGGGATTACTCCTGATACTCCTAGAAGGGCTTACCTTTGCGACGTCGACGTCTTTCATGACGGGAACATCATATGCAAATGCCAGGAAGGGGAGACCCCACAGAAGCAATGCGATCGGGCACAAGGAGCCCTTGGCCATCTTTGTGGTTTTCTTTGGCTTTGAGATTCATCTTTGTGAGCCTCTCCTTTATATCCCTCCCTAGATGCCTTCATCGATCATGCAAGAAAGACCACGTGAAATTGGCCTTCTACCAGAAGGAAGGAAGCATGGTCAAATGACTTTGAGAAGAATTGCTTTGAGAAGATCTTGTTCTTTCCTTGGACCACGAAATGGCCGTTTCGTTGAGGGATGCCAAAGGTGGCCAACAAACCATGGCGGCCAAAGTTGGCCTTCTACCAGAAGGAAAGAAGCGTGAACAAATTGCTTTGAGAAGACCTTGTTCTGCCTATGGACCAAGAAATGGCTGTATTGTCCAGGGATGCCAAATATGGCCAACTAACAAACCATGGTGGACAAGTTGTGCCCATCTGTTCATTCAACCCATTTATAATGAAGACATCTTCCAATTGTCTTGGCCTAGGATGTTGCCTTCTCGGTTTTGGGCAGTTCTCTGTTTGTATTTGGAATGTTTCACTCAACAAAAGTAAATAAACACCAATTCTCCTTTGGGCTTCTAGGTTGGCCATTGAGAAGAAACCATTGTAGTCTTCATTGTGTTATTACTAGTTTCATCTTAATGGATGGCCATTGATCTCCTCCCGAAGGACACAACCATCCATGGGAGAGGGACCTAGGGGTCTTAGTGGGCCTCAAGCGAAACATGAGTCGATAGTGTGATGTAGCAGCAAAAAAGGCGAATGCCATTCTAGCCTGCATCCATCAAAGTCTATATTACACAAATACCATCTGCCTGGATGTGATTACAAGCCTGAAAAAGTTACACAAAATGAACATGTCAAACTACTCTGGGACTTCCAAATCCAGACTGACAGTTTTGGAGCGCAAGACTCCTGTCCTCACGATCGTGGAAAAAACAAAATATGGATCATCAATGTTGCAGAATTGACGAGAAGCAACTAGGAAAGCTGACACTATACGAGGATTTAAAGATCGAACTGCAAAGACTGGCACAAGCCAGTTAAGGTGGTCCCAGTGGTGATCGACACACTGGGTGCAGTGCCCAAAGACCTTGGCCAACACTTAAAAACAATTGGTGCTGACATAATCAGCTGTCACCAGCAAAAGGCCACCTGACTTGGATCTGTAAGCATTATTCGCCGATACATCACACCGTCCTAGACACTTGGGAAGTGTCCAACGTGTGATCCAATACAACAGCCAGCAGAGTGATCTTATTTGCTGTGTAGTAATCTTGTTGTGTATCAAATAATAATAATGATATTAAGGCCGGGCTTTAGCACTGCAGGTTAACCACCAGCTGCAATAAATATTACCAGTCAAAAGGTTGACAGTTCAAAGCCCGGGTTGGGGTGAGTGCCTGGCCTTCAGCCCAGCTCACTGCGCACCTAGCAGATCGAAAACATCTATGAGTAGATAAATTGGGGAGGTATTTTAATGGCACTATAAATGAAATACCAGAAAATGACAGTGAAGTCTGTGAAATGGAGCAATAGCATCCTCCCGTGGCTAGAATTGAACACAACCTCCAGGACGCCGAAGATGGGAAATGCCTATATACCTCTATCTGTTGTCTGTCCTGTCTGTGTATAACGGCATTGAATGTTTGCGGTATATGTGTTCTGTGATCCGCCCTTCGGGGTGACAATGGTGGAATATAAATGCTGTAAATAAATAAAATATAAACTGTCTAGGAGTTCAGTAGAGTCTCATTCTCTGGACCTTATTGAAACGAGGCTGGATAGTCATCTGTCGGGAGCACTTCGATTTTGCTTTTCCTGCCTGCCCAAAGAGGTTGGACTAGATGCCCTTCCAGGCTGGATAGTCATCTGTCGGGAGCACTTCGATTTTGCTTTTCCTGCCTGCCCAAAGAGGTTGGACTAGATGCCCTTCCAACTCTACTTTGAATATGCTTTACATTATTTATTCCATGTGGATGCACCCCTTTCTTCTTTTTTTCCCATTTTTAACGGCTCTTTGGGCTTTATTAACATAAAGGACAGCTGGACATTTTAGGGTTTCATTATTCCTTTATTGTTGGGACTCGGAGGCGATGGCGGTGTCCTTCTGTTCCGCTCAACGTTTGAGTCCCACTTTTGGGGGAACAAGACCATGAGCGTCTCCTGGGTTCCTTTAGGGCCCTGAAGAAGGAAAGGGACAAACCGTCAATGAAGGACTCGGGCTGTGCGTTGCTCCCAATAGTCACTTGCTTCTATCCCAGCATCCCCTCTATTTGCAGGCCTTTTGAAGCCCACTTTTGATAGTCTATATAAATAAAAATGTAATGTTCGTTTGTGGGATTAACGTAACTCAAAAACCACTGGACGAATTGACACCAAATTTGTATACAATACACCTACCAGGCTAACAAGTGACCACTACTCATAAAACACTGAAAAACACAGCAGAAGAGAGTTAAAAAGCAAAACAAAAAACAAAACATGACATTGCACTTGCAAAACCACATATATACATATACACAAATATATACACACACATACACACAAATATGCACACACAAACAGCAGGGGATAGTTAGTAATAATCTATATAAATAAAAATGTAATGTTTGTTTGTGGGATTAACATAACTCAAAAACCACTGGACGAATTGACACCAAATTTGGACACAAGACACCTATCAGGCGAACGAGTGACCATCACTCATAAAAACACTGGAAAACACAGCAGAAGAGACTAAAAAAGCAACCCCCCCAAATATATTACAACGCATGCGCAAAACCACATATATATACACAAACACACACATATACACACATAAATGCGTATACACACACAAAACACATACACAGAAAGGGGGAAGGAAAGAGAGAAGGAGGCAAAGAAGGAGGGAAGGAGAGAAAGAAGGAAAGAAGGAAGGAGAGAAGGAGGGAGAGAAGGAGAGGGAAAGAAGGAGGGAAGGAGAGAAAGAAGGAAAGAAAGAAGGGTAGAGAAGGAAGGAAGGAGAGAAAGAGGGAGAGAAAGAGGGAAAGAAGGAGGGAAGGAGAGAAGGAAAGAAAGAAAGGTAGAGAAGGAAGGAGAGAAGAAAATAAAAATGTGAAAGAGGGAAGGAAGGAGAGAAGGGATGAGAAAGAGGGAGGGAGGGAGGGAGGGAAGGAAGGAAGGAAGGAAGGAAGGAAGGAAGGAAGGAAGGAAGGAAGGAAAGGATGGAACCAAAGAGCAAAGGAAGCAAGAAAAGAAACAGGTAGAGAAGGAAGAAAGAAGAAGGAAAAGAAAAAGAGGGAAGGAAGGAAGGAAAGAGGGAGGGAAGGAAGGCGAGAAAGAAAGAAGGAGAGAAAGAGGGAGGGAAGGTTGGCCACAGCAACGCGTGGCGGGTACAGCTAGTTGTAAATAAATCTTTTGTGATTTTTTAAGATGGGACTTTGCATGTTTGCCTCCTAAGCTCTGAATTCTTTACAGCCACGCCAGCGGCACTTCATGCTCTGCTCAACTTATTTATTTATTTATTTAGAGCTTTTATAACCTGGTCTTCTCAACCTCCGAAGAGGGACTCAGGCCGGTTCACTACAAGAAATTCATAAACAATAATATAAAAACATCACACTTCATAATACACTAATCCATAAAATACATTAAAATACATATAATTACATAAGGCCAAGTCATCAGAATAAAATCACAATTCAACACCATCCATCCGTGTGGTCAAGAGTTATTGACTCACTCATCAAATGCTATATTCCAAAGCCAAGTTTTCACCAGCTTTCTAAAAGTCAGGAGAGAAGGGGCAGTTCTAATCTCCAGTGGGAGGGAGTTCCAGAGCCGAGGAGCCACCAGCGAGAAGGTCCCGTCCCTCGTCCCCACCAGACACGCTTGCGAGGGTGGTGGGACCGAGAGCAGGGCCCCTCCAGAAGATCTTAACAACCTTGATGGTTCATAGGGGAGAATCCGTTTGGACAGGTAAACTGGGCCGGAGTCGTTTAGGGATTTATAGGTCAACACCAGCACTTTGAATTGTGCTCGGAAGCTAATTGGCAGCCAGTGGAGTTGGCGCAACAGAGGAGTAGTATGCTCCCTGTACCCCGCTCCTGTTAGTAGTCTGGCTGCCGCTCGTTGGACTAATTGCAGCTTCCGGGCAGTCTTCAGAGGCAACCTCACGTAGAGAGCGTTGCAGTAGTCTACGGGATATAACCAGAGCGTGGACCACCGTGGCCAAGTCAGACTTCCCAAGGTACGGGCGCAGCTGGTGTATCCTTTTTGTTTTTGGGTGCCCTGCTTTATATTTTGGGTAGCTTTCCCTAACAGATCGGCTAGGTGGGCAGGGAGCTGGAGCTGACAGCAGGTAGTGACCCTGACCCAGGCTCGAACTGCTGACCTTTCGATCGGCAGGATTTTCTGCAGCTAGCGGTATAGCCTGCTGTGCTAAGCCCGGCCCCTCTTTGAGGCCCTCTGTTGGGAGAAAGGAGGAATAGAACAAGAGACCCCATCTATTGACATGCCTTTTGAGGCCTTCTGTTGGGAGAAAGCCGGGATACACACATATAAAGGTGATAATATATATTCATCTTACCTATGCCGGAGGGCTTTTGCAGAAATCTGCGGAAGGAAAGACATGTGAGATTCAGATGAGGGGAAGCAGCCTCTTCTCAATGACAACGCAACCCATCACCCATGATTACCTTCTTCCTTCGGTTTAAACTTATGTGCCGGTTTCAGCCCCACTTTTTTGACCAAGGCTTTGAACTTGTTTTTGACCTCCTTAGACACTTTCTTCTCTCGACCTGAAAGGGGACCCGAGAAAAGGAGGTGGGAAAAGGGAGTCAGCTTTGGAGATGTAGCGCAGGACGATGGGCCTGGAGGTGGCCCCATTTGGAAGCTTTTATAGGGGCCTTGTCTTACTCAACTGCCGAGTATGCCTGCCCTGTTTGGCATAGGTCTGCCCATGCAAAGCAGGTGAACATAGCATTGAATGAAACATGCAGAATAATCACAGGATGTCTTAAACCTACACCTGTTGATAAACTCTACAAGCTAGCTGGCATTGCCCCCCCTGATGTGTGGAAGTTGCTGCTAAATGTGAGAGAAATAAGGTTGAACACTGTGAAAGCCATCCACTACATGGCTACCAGCCTCCTCCCAGTAGACTCAAATCAAGGAAAAGCTTTATGAGAACTACCACTCCTCTTGGCATCCCCCCAGCAGTAGCAAGGGTATCCCTCTGGGCAGCTAACCAGGAAATCCCAACTGGAGCCCCCCCCCCCCCCACAAGGGTCTTCCTCCAGGGGCAAACCAAGAATGGGCAACTTGGAAGTCCCTGAACAGACTCAGAAGTGGAGTGGGCAGATCAAAAGACAACCTGGCAAAATGGCACTACCTAAAAGAATCCCACACCTTGTGTGACTGTGGAGCAGAACAGACAACTTCACATCTGTATGGTTGTCCACTGTGTCCTGCCTCATGTATAGAGGATGAATTGTTGGAGGCTACAGACAATGCCATTGCTGTTGCCCGTTTTTGGTCAAAAGATATTTACCTGCCGGCGCTCCTTCTATTTTTATCAGTTTTATACTAATTTATGCAGTGCTTTTGATACGAAATAAAATAATAATAGGGGCATAAACCTCGTGGCCCATATCTGGCTGCACCTTACTAAGGGGTTCCCAATCTGAGAGCATTTGCCTATGACAGACCCCCCCTCCATAAAAACCCTTAATTGCACCCCCACTACACTAATCTATGTTGTACTTGGCTAGTGGGGTTTCCTAATTTGTCTATGACAGGTCTGCTCCTCCTTTGGTCTGGAAGGCTAAGTTTGGAGAAACACTTGTCTATGGCATGTAAGAACAACACCAGCAACAATGGCATGTTGACTGTCCTAGAGAGGAGGTCTTCCTGTACATCCCAATTGACTTTTTAAAATGGGCCCCGCGATATATCTCTGGGAAACGTACCATAGAGTGCCAGCATGCGCGCTTTGCCGTTGGATAAATGTGTGAAGAGGTAGGTCTTGTAGTCCGTTTCCATGATGGTGGCATCTCCATCTATCCAGAGAAACCCATGGCAGATGAATGCTCATTAACCCCAATGAACCTCACAGAAAGGCAAGGCAAGGCAACACTTGAGACCCTTGGGGGAACTTCACCTCCCATCTGGGGAAGACAACCTTTCTTCTGGGCTTACCTGACGAGGTGAAGACCCCAGGGCTTTTCTTTCTTCCAGTTAGCTTTCTCACAGTGCAAGCTCCGTCCCTGGGAAGGGAGGAAGGAAGGAAGGAAGGGAAAAGGAAAGAGAAAGGAAGCAAAGAAGGAAAAAGAAAGGAAGGGAAGGGAAGGAAGCAAAGAAAAAGAAGGGAAGAAAAGGAAGGGAGGAAAAGGAAGGAAGGAATGGAAAGAAGGCAGGAAGGAGGAAAGGAAGGAAGGAGAAGGAAGGCAGGAAGGAAAGGAAGGAAGGAAGGCAGGAAGGAAGGAAGGAAGGAAGGAAGGCAGAAGGAAGGAAGGAAGGAAGGAAGGAAGGAAGGAAGGAAGGAAGGAAGGCAGGAAGGCAGGAAGGAAGGAAGGAAGGCAGGAAGGAAGGAAGAAAAGGAAGAAGGAAGGAAGGAAGAAGGAAGGGAGGGAAGGAGAGGAAAGGAAGGAGGAAGAAGGAGGGAAGGAGGAAGGAAGGAAAAAGAAAGGAGGGAAGGAAGAAAGAAAAAGAAGGAAGAAAAGGAAGGGAAAGGAAGGAAGGTATGGAAAGAAGGGAAGAGAGGAGGAAGGAGGCAGGAAAGGAAGGAAGGAAGGAAGGAAGGAAGGAAGAAGGAAAGAAAGAAAGAAAGGAGAAAGGAGGGAAGGAAGGAAGGGAAGAAGGAGAAAGAAAGGGGAAAAAAGGAAGGGAAGGAAGGAAGGAAGGAAAGAAAGAGAGGAAGGAAGGAGGAAAGGAAGGAAGGAGGAGGAAGGAAGGAAGGAAGGAAGGAAAGAAAGGAAGGGAAGGAAGGAAGCAAAGAAAAAGAAGGGAAGAAAAGGAAGGGAGGAAAAGGAAGGAAGCAAGGAATGGAAAAGAAGAGAAGGGAGGATGTAAGGCATGCAGGAAAGGAAGGAAGGAAGGAAGGAAGGAAGGAAGGAAGGAAGGAAGGGGATGGAAGGAAGGAAGGAAGGGAAGAAAAAGAAAGAAGGAAGGGAAGGAAGGAAGAAGAAAAGAAGGAGGAAGCAATGAATGGAAAAGAAGAGAAGGGAGGATGGAAGGCAGGCAAGGAAGGAAGGAAGGAAGGGAAAGGAAAGGAAGGATACAAGGAAGAAAGGAAAAAGAAGGGAAGGAAGGAAGAATATGACAAAGGTCAAGGATACCATTTTTAAGGGGACCCCCTGCTTTCCCTTCTAGGGACCAAAACTGTACCATATTTGGGGTTGTTTTCAGATTGGGACCCTTTGGAGGTGCCTTGGAGGTGGGGCCCAAGTCCGGACCCCAAACACTAGGAGAACTTATTTTGCTAAGGCCATGACCTGCTCCACAACGGAGCCAGGAGGAACTCGTGGCCTCTGAGGAGCTTCACCCTCTTATTCAGAGTTTTGGGAGGACTCTGGAGRCCACTCACTTGGGGACCTCAAASTTGGTTGTAATGGCTCCGTCGGCTGTGGCCTCTATAGTGTAGGCGTAGAGTTCTAATGGATCAGGATGCGTCTTGATGACCTTCACTGGGTACCACTTCCCAAGGAGCTGCAAGGAGGGGAAGGAGTAAAGGGAGATTAATGCCTGGAATGACCAAACCAGAGGTGCATCTACATTGCAGAATAAAAATGAATGGTGCCCATACCAAGAGAGGTGGGCACTGAACCCCATCAATCCCACCTGCTCTCTCTTCCTTTCCGCCCCGGTCTGTGATGTCAGAAGGAAGTCTCAGCCAATGAGAAGGTGGATCCTAGGAGGCTCTTCCTGACCAGCCAGGGAAGGAGTGGGAGATTTGAATAGCTGTCAGACTGTATAAAATGTGCACTTTTCTGTATGAGAAATGCCGGTACTTTTGGTGATTGCACTGTTTCGTTATTAATCTGGCCAGTTGAATAAATCTATGTTATTGCCTTCAAACCTGGTAATGTTTCTCTAGGTTTCAAAGTGGCATGGCCTAATGGGCAACAGACTTACTCTGCCCCCTGGTGGCACATAGCTAATTTCAGCAACACAGGGGATCCTGGGAGTTGTAGTCCCTCAAGGCCCTTTGCCGTTACAGCCAAAGAGGACTAACTTCCAACTCCCAGGGTTCCATAGCATTGAGATCAAGGCAGGTAAACTGCATTTACTCACAAGTGTAGATGCACCTGAAGTGAGGATTCRAATYRCAGTCCTTTGGGGTGTATTGTTATTRCTAATTTAATTTCAAGGATTTTGGGAGGTCCCAAGGAAATAATACATATGATGATGATGATGATGATGCATGGGATTAGGAACTATTTTCAAATTATTATTATTATTATTTTGCATCCCCAAATTACAATTCCTTTGACGATGATGACGATGATGATGATGATGATGATGATGGTGATACTTCATTTATATCCCACCCTATCTCCCCGAGGGGACTCAGGGAGGTGCATTGCTACTATTAATATAATTTCAAGGGATTTTGGGAGGTCCCAAGGAAATAATAAATATGACGATAATGATAGTGCATGGGGTTAGGAACTATTTTTAAATTCTTCTTCTTATTATTATTATTATTATTTTGCCTCCCAAAACTGTAATTCCCCTGATCCTATAGCACTGAACACACTGAATGCTTGAGAAGTGCCGAATCCAGTTTCGGTGTCCCAGTCCACTGTTTCACTTACTTACCTGTATTGTATGTCGATCAAAATTGGAATGTATCACCTTTTGTGGGGATTACTCCCAATTCACCTGGAAATGGTTACCTTTGCGCCGTCGACATCTTTCATGACGGGAACATCACCTGCAAAGGCCAAGAAGGGGAGACCCAACAGAAGCAATGCGAGCGGGTGCAGGGAGGCCTTGGCCATCTTTGTGGATTTCTCTGACTTTGAGATTCGTCTTTGTGACCCTCTCCTTTATATCCCTCYYTTGATGCCTTCATCGATCATGCAAGAAAATCCACATGGAATTGACCTTCTGCCAGSAGGAAGGAAGCAAGAGCAAATTGCTTTGAAAAGAATTGCTTTGAGAAGATCTTGTTCTTTCCTTGGACCAAGAAATGGCCATTTTGTTGAAGGATGCCAAAGGTGGCCAACAAACCATGGCAGCCAAAGTTGGCCTTCTGCCAGAAGAAGAGAAGCGTGAGCAAATTGTTTTGAGAATACCTTGTTCTGCCCATGGACCAAGAAATGGCTGTTTTGTGATGCCAAGGATGGCCAACCAACAAACCATGGGGGACAGGTTGTGGCCATTTGTTCATTTGGATGGAAGACGTTTTGCAAATGTCTCGGCCTAGGATGTGGTCTTCTCTGCTCTGGACAGTTCTCTGTTTGTATTTGGAAGGTTTCCCACAACAATGGATGGCCATTGAKCTCCCCTCAAAGGACACAACCATTCATGGGAGAGGGACCTAGGGATCTTAGTGGGCCTCAAGCATTGTCCTTCAGTGACAGCATTTTCGTGTCTTGGGAAGTCATTATCCTACCTTATCCTATCTAATTTGTCAACAACCAATTCCTTTCGGCTTCATGCAAATCTCCCATTTGCCAAAATATACGATCCTGTTCTTTTCTTTTCCATATCGGGCTGAAGAGGTTAACCTTTGGTTCGTCCCATCAAATGCCAAATGTGGTCTCTTGATATCCAGTTYATGAGTCACCATGCCCATTGGTTGTCTTTGGTTCMTGCTCTATGCCCTGCCCATCTTCTTTTTGCCTCATAGATTTCATTGACCATGTCACATGCCCCAGTTCTTTATTGCTGACTTTATGTCTTATTGTCACACCACACATTCTTCTTTTTTTCCATGGCTCTGAGTCTCTAACATTGTTGTTGCCCATGTTTCGGATGTGTATAACATTGCTGGTAAAACTATTGTGTTAAAGAGATCTGCTCTGACCTTCCTTGGTAGCTTATCGCATGTTTCCACAATTCTATTTAGCCTAGAATTATGGAAAAAATAGACCCATGTATGAGGGTTGAATGAAGAGTAATGCCTCCACTTTCGTAACTCCTCAACAGATGGCAGCACTGCTTTGTGGCAGGTACTGGCTTTTTCAGTAGACTCTCCTCTACAGTTCCATTTTGGCGGGAAGCCTTAGCATTGAAYGGTTATGTTCTTAAAGTGCGAAGTATGGAACTCTGCGCAGATGGTCAGTCAATGTGACTTAAGCAACGTGCAGTCATTGAATTCTTGACAGCAAAAGGTGTCACCCCAAAGGAGATTCATCAGAGAATGCAAGCTGTTTATGGTGATTGTGTTGGTGTGAGTACTGTGCGTCGTTGGGTGTGTAAGTTTAAAGATGTTGAGGTGGGAAAATCTGACTTGCATGACAAACAAAGAGTTGAACATCCTGTGCAACCACCGAGTTTCACAAGCAAAAGGTTGACAGATTGATTCAGGACGATTGTCGTATCACTCAGAGAAAATTTCCAAGCATAATTGGCATTTCACAAGAATGTGTGGGTCACATTATTGCTTTGCTTGGCTATCGGAAGATCTGTGCACAATGAGTACCCAGGATGAGAGAACCATGAGACGCTGGTTGCGGAAACAGAGTGTYGTCTTCTTCCGTGACGTCTTCAGAAAACTTGTTCATAGTTGGCAGAAATGTATCCAATTGTCCGGTGATTATGTGGAAAAGGGAATAGTGGTAGTTAAAGAGCACATTCTAAGGATTATTTCTGTGTTTGATTTATTAAAATATTCCCATCCAAACCCAAGTAACGAAGGTGGACGCATTACTTTTCATTCAACCCTCGTATGATCCCGCAGCAAGTTGGTTTCAGGAAAGGCAAAAGCTGCACATCAGAAGGTCTGAACCTGACTCAGCACATATGTCTTTTCAACAAGGTAAAGAGCAGAGAATAAGAGTAAGATCTAAAGTGCACAAAGCTCACCAACATAGGTACCAGCTGTAGCTCTATCCAAGACGTTGCTCCCAGCAAAGAGCTACTGCAGCTGCCCATCAAAGTCCTTAGAGTTGTGAGGCCTTCTTCTGAGCCAGCCGATTGGACCTTCTCAGTTGGATGGCATCAACCCTAAGCTGAAGCCAGAGGGGAGAGTTCTGTTCTTCCTCCTGAAGAGCCCCATTCTGCCCTGACTCTGTTATTTCCATGTCTGAAGGGTCCTGGTCCTGCTCAGCTGCAGAGAGCTCCAAGGTCTCAGGCTGCTCAGGCTGCTGATCTACCTTAGTTCCTGATTCGGCTGCTGGCAGAAGACCCTCTTTCCCGTCATCTTCATCCTGCACCAAGGTGCTGACAGATACATAGCATGCGCTATTGTGTGCACATTTATGGCGACTTTTTAATACAATGGCGCATTGATGATAGATTTAGGGGAACATGGGCTTCCACTGTATTCAGAAACAATGGACCATCTGTCAGAAGGACATGATAATACATATCTTCATAATGAACTCATGTTCCATCCTAAACTGCATTACCTTTTCATCTTTTTCCGGTTGGCAACACGCTTTTGAAACCTTGCAACACGGTCATTCAGTATAATCTTTCCTGTATAAATAGTTGATGCAATTAGCTAACATGCTGCTAATCATCCAATTAACTGACTTCAAACAGTTATTTCTGCTTCAACAAGCGGCTCTTATCTTTATTTACATTATTTACAACAGGGTCACACTTACTTCTATACGTAGTCAGAACAGAAAGAGAATGAGACAAATGGCGACAGCTACATATAAATAATTTTCTTATCACCTAATTAATGCAAGTCCTGCCTGCCGGTAGTGATGAAATTTCACTTCCCCTTTGAGCTATGCAACCCCCCCCCCCCAAAAAAGCCAAAATTACCGGCTGAAAAGTATCCATTTTAGTGATCATTGCTGCCACTTGATCAACACATTGTGCAGATTACAAAAGCTACAGCAGTCCCTGCATTTGGGCAGCACCGGAGCCCCACTTATGTAGGGATCAAACCTCTCTGAAAGATTTTGAACAGGGCCTGGATGGCCATCTGTTGGGAGGGCTTTGACTGCAMTTTTCCTGTTTTAAAACTCTTTTTAAATGTTTGTATATTGGCGGATTTTAAATGAAATGTAGGAAGAAATAGTGGAGTATAAATAAACCTAGTAATAATAATAGATAGATAGAACTGCAAAGACTCTAGTACAAACCAGTAAAAGTGGTTTCACTGGTGATCGGCACACTGGGTGCAGTGCCTAAAAACCTTGGCCTGCACTTAAAAACAATCGGCGCTGACAAAATTACCATCTATCAGTTGCAAAAGGCCACCCTACTTGGATCTGGATGCAATGTTCACTAATACATCACACAGTCCTAGATACTTGGGAAGTGTCCAACGTGTGATCCAATACAACAACTAGCATAATGGGAGTTCAGTAAAGTCTCCTTCTCTGGAACTTATTGAAGTGAAGCTGGATGACTGTCAGGACCCCTTTGATTTTGCTTTCCCTGCCTACCCGAAGGGACCGGACTAGATGCCCTCAGGGGGCCTCTTCCAATGCTACTTCAAATATGCTTTAATCTTTTTTGTTGTGTCAGGAGTGACTTGAGAAACTTTTGCAAGTCGCTTCTGGTCGAAGCAAAAAGTGGACGCTAGAAATAATATCATACTGGAGCATTACAGCACACCCAAATACCTGGGAGTTATTCCGGACCATTATCTGACCTATGAGAAGCATTGCCTGAATAACAAGCAAAGAAAGTGGGTGCTAGAAATATTATCATACGAAATATTATCATACGAAATCTGACTGGCACAACCTGGGGATCACAACCAGACACAGTGAAGACATCTGCCCTTGCGCTTAGTTAATCTGCTGCTGACTACGCTTTCTCAGTGTGGAACACATATCACCATGTTAAAACACTGGATGTGGCTCTTAATGAGACATGCCACATTATCATGGGGCGACTGTGTCCTACACCACTGGAGAAATTACACTGTTTAACCGGCATTGCACCACCTGACATCCGCCGGGAAGTAGCAACCAATAATGAAAGGACCAAGGCAGTTACATCTCCAGCTCATCCACTGTTTGGATATCAGCCAGCACACCAACAAAATAATTTTCTAATATCTGCAGAGACACTCGCTGGAACACCTCAGCAAGCGAGAGTCCAAAAGTGGCAGGCTCAAACCCAGATCCTCAATCAATGGCTGATAAAAAAAATGAGAGATTCCCTCCTGGGCACAGAGAAAATTCGGCAACTTGAACTGCACTCAGGCACCACGAGATGCAGAGCCAACCTTAAGAAATGGGGCTACAAAGTGGAATCCATGACATGCGAGCGTGGAGAAGAGCAAACCACAGACCAATTACTGCAATGCAGTCTGAGCCCTGCCACGTGCACAATGGAGGACCTTCTTATAGCAACACCAGCGGCACTCCAAGTGGCCAGATACTGGTCAAAGGRCATTTAATAGAATGCCAAGTTTGCAAACTTTGTGTGTGTGTTTTTAAAAAATACAATACAATTGTTTGGTTCSCTCCTGATACGGTAAATAAATAACATAAAGGACAGCTGGACATATTAGGGTTTCATTATTCCTTTATTGTTGGGAGTCGGTGGTGATGTTGGCRTCCCTACACCTCCTGGGTTCCCTTAGTGACCTKCAGAAGAAAAGGGACAAAACCGTCAATGAAGGATGCAGGCAGTGCGTTGCCCCACACGTCCACTTGTTGCTATCCCAGCAACCCCTTTACATGGAGACCTTTTGCACCCCCCTCTTGAGATTACTACTATTAGGTAAAAGTAAAGGTAAAGGTAAAGGTTTTCCCCTAACATTAAGTCCTGTCGTGTCCAACTCTGGGGTGTGGTGCTCATCTCCATTTCTAAGCCAAAGAGCCAGCGTTGTCCATAGACGCCTCCAAGGTCATGTGGCCGGCATGACTGCATGGAGCGCCGTTACCTTCCCGCCGGAGCGGTACCTATTGATCTACTCACATTTGCATGTTTTTGAACTGCAAAGTTGGCAAAACAACAACAACAACTACTACTACTACTAATAATAATAATAACAATAATTATTATAATTATAATAACAATAATTATTATAAATATTATAATAAATATTAATATAATATAATAAATAAATATTATAATAACAATAATTATTAGTATTATTATGGCAGAACTACTACTACTAGTACTACTAGTACTAGTACTATAGTAGTACTACTACAGAACACACATACGGCAAGCATTCAATGCTGTTACACAATTAACAAGGATAGACAGTACACAAACAGAAGTAAAGGCATTTCCCATCTTATTTCCGGCATCTTGGAGGCTGTGCTCCACTCCAGCCACGGGGGGTGCTGTCGCTCCATCYTCCATGCCGAGGAGTTTTTTCGTCCTTAGATGTCCTCTCGATCGATKTCCTTAATGGYACATTTAGTTACCTAAYTGCTACCCACTACTCATATTTCTGCTTTCAATCTGCTAGGTGGCCAGGGAGCTGGGGATGACAGTGGGTACTCACCCCGACCCGGGCTCGAACTGCCAACCTCTCAATCGGCAGGATATTTTAAGATGCTCTGCTTTATATTTGGTGTAGTTTTCCCTAACAGATCTGCTAGATGGGCAGGGTGCGGGGCTGATGGTGGGTGCTCACCCCAACCCGGGCTCGAACTGCCAACCTTTCGATCGTCGGAAATTTCTGCAGCTAGAAGTTTAGCCCGCTGTGCTAAGCCCGGCCCCTCTTTGAGGCCCTCTGTTGGGAGAAAGGTGGAATAGAACAAGAGATCCCATCTATTGACATGTCTTTTGAGGCTCTCTGTTGGGAGAAAGCCGGAATACACATATATAAAGGTAATAATATATATTCGTCTTACCTATCCTGAAGGGCTTTTGCAGAAAGCTGCAGAAGGAAAGACATGTGAGATTCAGATGAGAGGAAGCAGCCTCTCTCCCAATGACTACACAACCCATCACCCATGGTTACCTTTCTTCCACACTTTCCAGCGACTTGCCTTCATCCCCATTTTTTTGACGAAGGTATTGAACTTCTTCTTGATCGCCTTAGGCACTTCCTTTTTTCGGCCTGAAAGGGGACCCCAGAAAAGGAGGTGGGGAAAGGGAGTCAGCTTGGGAGATGTAGCACAGGGTGATGGGCCTGGAGGTGGCCCCAGTCGGAAACCCCAGGGCCCACATATGGTTGCACTTGACTAATGGGGTTTCTGATCTCAGAGCGTTTGCCTGCGCTCCTTCTATTTTTATCAGTTTTATACTAATTTATGCATTGATTTTGATACGAAATAAAATGATAATAGGGTCATAAACCACAGGGCCCACATATGGTTTCACTTGACAAATGAGGTTTCTGATCTCAGAGCGTTTTCCTATGACAGAGTCATTTCCCCCGCCCCCACCTTAATTACACTTTCTTCCTCTACACTAATCTATGTGGGATTTATAGTACACACTAAGGTCCAATTTGTTGTACTCGGCTAGTGAGATTTCCCTATTTGTCTATGGCAGGGTTTCCCCTCCTTTGGTCTGGAAGGCTGAGTTTGGGGAAACACTATATCCATGTAACAACAACAACAACAACAACAACAACAAAAATAGCAGCGGCAGCAGCAGCAACGACAACAATGACAACAACAAAAACAATGTTATGTTGACTGTCTTAGAGAGGAGGTCTTCCGATTCATCCCAATTGACTTTTTAAAATGGGCCCCCTAATATATCTCTTCATAAGATTGAAGCCGAGCATGCCCCCCCCCCATAAGGGATAGTAACTTATAGTTCTGTAAAGGGCAAGGGCACCAGACTGCACAATAGGGGTTAAGTCTTGGTCAATTTGCCAAGATACTAGCAACAGCAAGGACCCCAGGAGGCTTTCAGGGAGCAGATTGGTCCCTGGGCTCCAGCCCTTGGAAAGAGTTACAGTTTTCCAAGGGCCAAGGACAAGTCTCAACCTCAACGCTGCAGGACTTCCTTGACTGGCTTAGTGAAATCACCAAGCTCCCTTTGTGACTGTTGGACTTTCTTCAAAACCTTTTTGGCTCTAATGAACTCATTTTTTACATATGAATTTCCTCCGCATGAAGCATGGACACATGTTTTATTAAAAAATATTATTTTAATCAATTTCTCTGGCAGGTAGGGGGAGGGAGGGGTGCTTGATATGAATTTCTTGTGATTCCTATATTTCCCCATGTATTCTTCCCTCATATTTTTCTGGCCTGATTGAACCCATTGCCCCTTTCCCCCTCCCCTTTGGGGAAATCAATCAGGAAGCCGCCAGCTGAGCGGAGAGGACAATTAGAAATTACAAAGAACTCTTTTCATGATAACTCGTGCATGGAAAACAGAATTGAAAGCCTTAAGTTGGGTCTCAGAGTTGGTCCGCCCAATGAAAGGATTTCGCTTGGCATCTTTGATCACATCCACCCCAGCCTTTTTCATTGTGTCTTATCTGATGGCAATAGGGAAGCCCGTATTAAGTAATCATTATTTATTGCCCACCCATCAAAGGACAATAGACTGGGCATCCGTTGCAGGACGGAGTCTCCAACTCAGGATTCCCCGAGGCATGAAATCCATTAATCCATTCATGAGCCCATTGTTTCTTCTTTGTCCCGCCTCCCTTCTGCTGATTCGCCAGAGCGCTGAAGCGGTAGGAGCTCTCCTATTGGCTCCTGCACAGCGAAGAAGCTCAGTGATTGGGTCTGACGCAGGGCGGGCGGCCGAGCCCCCTGCCAGCTGGAATCGCGTCAACCAATCACCATCGAGCCGGGAGGAGGGTGGAGGGTGGGAATTTTGAAACTGCTAAGCCTGTATTCCTATAAAAATGTCTCTGATCTCTGTAACCACATGCTCTGTAGGCGAATGATTGCTACATTGCATGCTTTTCAGCTGAATTGCTAATAAAAACACCTCGGTGCCGCTTCTTCAATTTTGGTGAGCTTTATTTTGAATTTTAATCTAAATAAAATCGCTGAAATCAGGCTTCTCTGACTCGCCAAAGTAGCGGACCCTCTTTGGTGCGGTCTTAGGGTCCCTCCTCCTGGGGAGGACCCTTCCAAAAATTCCTATTGACTTCAAGGTCACAAAGAGTCGGAAGCGACTGAACGAATAAACAATAACACAATATATCTCTGGGAAACATACCATAGAGTTCCAGGATGTGCAGGCCGGCAGTGGATATATGTGTAAAGAGGTAGGTCTTGTAGTCCGTGTCCATGATGGTGGTCTCTCCATCTGTCCAGAGAAACCCATGGAAGATGGATGCTCATTGACCCCAATGAACTCCACAGCAAGACAAGGCTTGAGGTCCTTGGGGAAGCTTTAGCTCCCATCTGGGGAAGACACCCTGTCTTCTGGGCTTACCTGATGAGGCGAAGACCCCGGGACTTTTCTTGGTAGCGATTACCTTTATCACGGTGCAGGCTCCATCCCTGGGAAGGAAGGAAGGAAAGGAAGGAAGGAAGGAAAGGAAGGAAGGAGGGAAGGAAAAAGAGAAAGGAGGGAGTGGAAAGGTGGGAAGATGGAAGGCAGGCAGGGAGGAAAAGAAGGAAGGAAGGAAGAGAAACAGAGGAAAAGGATGGAATAAAGGAGGAGGAAGGAAGGAAGGAAGGAAAGGAAAGGAAAAAGAAGGAAGGAAGAGAATGGGAGGGGAGGGAGAGAGGAAGGAAGGAAGGATAGAAAAAGGGAAGGGAGGAAGGAGAGGAAGGAAAGAAGGAAGAGAGGGAGAAAGCAAAAGGAAAGAGGAAGGAAAAAAATTGGAAGAGAGGGAGGGAGGGAGGGAGGGAGGGAGAAGAGGACAAAGGTCAAAAAGTCCCACTTTTGGGGACAACCTGCTCTCCCTTCAAAATTGTCCCATATTTGGCACTGTTGGGACCTTCTGGAGGTGCTTTGGAGGTGATGTCCTTGGGGAACTAATGTCCCTAAGGCCATGACCTGCTCAATAACTTGGGGGGATTCTGGAGGCCACTCACAGAGGGATCTCTACTTTTATTACGATGCCTCCATCAGCTGTGGGCTTTAGAGTGAAGGCATGTTTTTCCATTTGATCAGAGCCTGCCTTGATGGTCTCTACTGGGTACCACTTCCCGGCCAACTGCAAGGAGGGGAAAGAGAAAAGGGAGATTAATGCCTGGAACGACCAAGTCAGGAGTACATCTACACTGCAGAATGAACATGAATGCAGACTGACACAACTTGATTCACCAGTTGTTATTGAAAAATTGACCAGCCCTACTCTAATAATTACAACTATAAATTTATAACGTATTTTTTGAGCTTGGTTGAGTCTCAGCCAAGCTCAGCCCCAGCCCGACCCCAAACATTCCTGGGAGGATTAATCTAATCATTTACCAAGCTAAAAATGGGTTTGTGAGGGAACCCCTCAGGCCAGCCCATTATTTGCTTCCTCCCCATTCTTTCCCCCCCCGTCTTCTCTGTTAAGATTCTAACACCTCAGAAATGGACCTTTCCCTCATCTCCCAAGCCCCACTCTCTCAGCCTCAAGATAAATAATAATAAAATTCCCTTAAACTGTATCCCCAAGAAACTCCAACACATACAGATACACAGACACACACACGCACACATGAAATTATACATATTTTCAATTCACAAAACAGACCCAGTTCTTTTCCATTCTCCGCCCCAGGTCTGTTATGTCAGGAGGAAGTCTCAGCCAATGAGAAAGCAGATCCTAGGAGGCGTGTCTCCTGACCAACCAGGGGAGGGAGTGGGAGGTTTGAATAGGTGCCAGGCTGTATAAAATGTGCTGCACTTTTCTGTATGAGTTATGCCGGTTCTTTTGGCGATTACGCTGTTCTGTTATTCATCTGGACAGTTGAATAAACCTCTGTTTTTGCCTTCAAACTTGGTCATGTTTTTCTGGCTTTCAAAGTAGCATGTCATGATAAGCAGCAGACTTATATTGCCCCCTGGTGACAGATAGCTGATTTCAATAACACAGGGGATCCTGGGAGCTGTAGTTCCCCAAGGCCCATTGCCTTTTCTGTCAATGAGGACTAACCTCCAACTCCCAGGGTTCCATAACATTGAGATCAGGGCAGATAAAGCAGGGACAAACTGCATTTATTCACCGGTGGTAGCTGCACCTGAAATGGGAATTCGAACCCCAGTCCTTCTGGGGTGTATTGCGACTACTAATATAATTTCAAAGGATTTTGGGAGGTCCCAATAAAATAATAAATATGATGATTTATTTCATTTATTTCACAAGAATGTGCGGATCACATTATTGCTTTGCTTGGCTATCGGAAGATCTGTGCACAATGAGTACCCAGGATGAGAGAACCGTGAGACGCTGGTTGCGGAAACAGACTTCTTCCATGACGGCTTCAGAAAACTTGTTCATCGTTGGCAGAAACGTATCCAATTGTCTGGTGATTATGTGGAAAAGGGAATGGTGGTAGTGAAAGAGCACATTCTAAGGATTTTTTCTGTGTTCTCCCCGGATTTGAACCTGCGACCTGTCGATCTTCAGTCCTGCTGGCACAGGGGTTTAACCCACTGTGCCACTGGGGGCTCTGCTTAAATTAGACATGTGCATTCGGGAGAAACAGTTTTGTGTTCCGGCTTTTGATCCGTTTTTGTAAGTCTCCTGAAATTGGGAGCGTTGTTTTCGATTCTTTTGTTTCAGGGCCTGAAAATTAGACCATTATCGGGGAAGGGGGCTTCCCACTCACTGGCTCCCTTTCCCGGCTTGCATTCTTCTTGCCTGCCACCTTCTGTTTCTACTCTAGAGTAAGAGGCGCTCAGCTGCAGACGTGCTCCAGGCCTGCCTGCCTGCACACACACTCTGCCACCACACTCTCTGAGAGTGTGTATGTGTGGAGGAGCATGCAGGCATACCCGGGTGCGACTGCCTGCCTGCACACCCCGCCAGACACGCACTCTCCAAGTTTGGATGCACATGAAAGCAGGCTTTTGTGTCAAGCAGATTCTCGTGTGGGGAGGAGGCTTCCCGTTTCGTGCTTCTGAAAAAACGGAAGACACAAAAGAAACGGTGGAAACGTTCGGAACAAATTTTGCACCCATGTCTTTTTTAAATCATGTAACCCATGTGGATGCACCCTTTTCTTCTTCTTTCATTCTGTAAGAGCCATTTGGGCTTTATTAACATAAAGGACTTTTGCAAGTTGCTTCTGGTCGAAGCAAAAAGTGGACACTAGAAATAATATCATACTAGAGCATTGCAGCACACCCAAATACCTGGGAGTTATTCTGGACCGTTCTCTGACCTACGAGAAGCACTGCCTGAATAACAAGCAAAAAGTGGGTGCTAGAAACAATATCATACGACAGCTGACTGGCACACCCTGGGGATCACAACCAGACACAGTGAAGACATCCGCCCTTGCGCTATGCTACTCTGCTGCTGACTACGCATTCCCAGTGTGGAACACATCTCACCATGTCAAAACACTGGATGTGGCTCATAATGAGACATGCCTCATTATCACGGGGCCCTACACCACTGGAGAAATTACACTGTTTAGCCAGCATTGCACCATCTGACATCCGCTGGGAAGTAGCAACCAATAATGAAAGGACCAAGGCAGTGAGATCTCCAGCTCATCCCCTGTTTGGGTATCAGACAGCACGCCAGTGCCCTAAATCAAGAAATAGTTTTCTAAGATCTACGGAGACACTCACTGGAACACCTCAGCAAGCGAGAGTCCAAAAGTGAGAGGCTCAAACCCAGAACCTCAATTAATGGCTGATACCAAATGAGAGACACCTCCTGGGCACAGAGAAAATTCGGCAACTTGGAAGGTGCTGAACAGACTACGCTGTGGCACCACGAGATGCAGAGCCAACCTTAAGAAATGGGGCCACAAACTGGAGTCCATGACATGTGAGTGTGGAGAAGAGCAAACCACAGACCATTTACTACAATGCGGTCTGAGCCCTGCCACGTGCACAATGGAGGACCTTCTTATAGCAACACCAGCGGCACTCCAAGTGGCCAGCTACTGGTCAAAGGGCATTTAATAGAATGCCAAATTTGCAAACTTTGTGTGTGCATTTTTAAAAAATACAATACAACTGTTTGGTTCGCCCCTGACATGATAAATAAATAACACAAAGGACAGCTGGACATTTTAGGGTTTCATTATTCCTTTATTGTTGGTAGTGGTGTTCATACACCTCCTGGGTTCCTTTAGGGATCTGCAGAAGAAAAGGGACAAACCGTCAATGAAGGATGCAGGCAGTGCGTTGCCTCACATGGCCACTTGTTTCTATCCCAGCATCCCCTCTACTTGCAGGTCTTTTGCACCCCCTTTTGATACTACTACTACTACTAGGTAAAGGTAAAGGTTTTCCCCTGACATTAAGTCCAGTCGTGTCTGACTCTGGGGTGTGGTGCTCCTCTCCATTTCTAAGCCGAAGAGCCGGCGCTGTCCGTAGACACCACCAAGGTCATGTGGCCGGCATGATTGCATGGAGCGCCGTTACCTTCCCGCCGGAGCGGTACCTATTGATCTACTCATATTTGCATGTTTTCGAACTGCTAAATTGGCAGAACTACTACTACTACTACTACTACTACTACTATTACTACTATACTCTATATTCTGCTCTATCTCCCCGAGGGGACTCAGGACGGATCACAGAACACACATACAGCAAGCACTCAATGTTGTTACACAATTAACAATGATAGACAGTACACAAACAGAAGTAAAGGCATTTCCCATCTTATTTCCGGCATCTTGGAGGCTGTGCTCCACTCCAGCCACGGGGGGTGCTGTCGCTCCATCTTCCATGCCGAGGAGTTTTTTCGTCCTTAGATGTCCTCTCGATCGATATCCTTAATGGCACATTTAATTACCTAATTGCTACTCACTACTCATATTTCTGCTTTCAATCTGCTAGGTGGCCAGGGAGCTGGGGCTGACGGTGAGTACTCACCCCGACACGGGCTCGAACTGCCAACCTCTTGATCAGCAGGATATTTTAAGATGCTCTGCTTTATATTTGGTGTAGTTTTCCCTAACAGATCTGCTAGATGGGCAGGGTGCGGGGCTGATGGTGGGTGCTCACCCCAACCCGGGCTCGAATTGCCAACCTTTCGATCGTCGGAATTTTCTGCAGCTAGAAGTTTAGCCCGCTGTGCTAAGCCCGGCCCCTCTTTGAGGCCCTCTGTTGGGAGAAAGGTGGAATAGAACAAGGGATCCCATCTATTGACATGTCTTTTGAGGCTCTCTGTTGGGAGAAAGCCGGAATACACATATATAAAGGTAATCATATATATTCTTCTTACCTATCCTGAAGGGCTTTTGCAGAAAGCTGCAGAAGGAAAGACATGTGAGATTCAGATGAGAAGAAGCAGCCTCTCTCCCAATGACTACACAACCCATCACCCATGTTTACCTTTCTTCCACACTTTCCAGCGACTCGCTGGCTTCATCCCCACTTTTTTGACGAAGGTATTGAACTTCTTCTTGATCTCCTTAGGCACTTGCTTTTTTCGGCCTGAAAGGGGACCCCAGAAAAGGAGGTGGGAAAAGGGAGTCAGCTTGGGAGATGTAGCACAGGCTGATGGGCCTGAAGGTGGCCCCAGTCAGAAACCCCAGAGCCCATATATGGTTGCACTTGACTAATAGGGTTTCTGATCTCAGAGCGTTTGCCTGCGCTCCTTCTATTTTTATCAGTTTTATACTAATTTATGCAATGCTTTTGATATAAAATAAAATAATAATAGGGGCATAAAACTCAGGGCCCACATCTGCTGCACCTGACTAATGGGGTTCCCAATCTATGACAGAGTTGTTACCCCCTCCCCAACCCTTAATTACACTTTCTGCCCCTACACCAATCTATGTGGGATTTATAGTACACACTAAGGTCCAATTTATTGTACTCGGCTAGTGGGATTTCCCTATTTGTCTATGGCAGGGCTTCCCCTTCTTTGGTCTGGAAGGCTAAGTTTGGGGAAACACTAGTCTATCCATGTAACAACAACAATAACAGCAGCGACGGCAGCAACAACAACAATGACAACAACAAAAACAATGTTATGTTGATTGTCTTAGAGAGGAGGTCTTCCGATTCATCCCAACTGACTTTTTAAAATGGGCCCCCTAATATATCTCTTCATGAGATCACAAAGAGTTGGAAGCGACTGAACAAATGAACAGCGACACAATATATCTCTGGAAAACATACCATAGAGTTCCAAGACGCGCAGCTTGCCAGCAGATATATATGTGAAGAGGTAGGTCTTGTAGTCCGTGTCCATGACGGTGGTCTCTCCATCTGTCCAGAGAAACCCATGGAAGATGGATGCTTATTATCCCCAATGAACTCCACGGCAAGACAAGGCTTGAGGTCCTTGGGGAAACTTCAACTCCCATCTGGGGAAGACAACCTGTCTTCTGGGTTTACCTGATGAGCCGAAGACCCCGGGCCTTTTTTGGGTACCGACTATCTCTATCACGGAGCAGGCTCCATCCCTGGGAAGGAAGGAAGGAAGGAAGGGAAGGAAGGAAGAAGGAAGAAGGAAGGAAGGAAGGAAGAAGGAAAGGAAGAGGGAAAGGAGGTGGGGGAGGAAAAGGAAGGAAGCAAGGAAGGAAAAAAGGGGTGGGAAGATGGAAGGCAGGCAGGGAGGAAAAGAAGGAAGGAAGGAAGAGAAACAGAGG